GAGAGAGAGAGAGAATAATTTAAAAATAAATTATGAGAATTTCGTCATACGAAAAATTAAATATTATGATAGATTTATATATTTTTTTTTATGTAAATATATATTAATTTATTTATTTTCTTATTATTGCTTATTTTTTAAAAATCTCATCGAACAAATTAGCTTCATTACAATATTTAATTTTAACAATATTATTTTTTATATCATAATATTAGGAAATTACGTAAAACAATTCTAAAAATAAATGCTATTTGATAGAATATCAGTATTTGAATTAATAAAAAAATGCTTATTAATAAATAGTAATAAAAATATATATAATTAAGATAAATCAACCAACCAATGAATTGGACAAATATACACATATTTTGATTGGTGTAGCTCTGTAAAACTTATCCAAAACACATGTCCTCTTTTACCAGCAGAGGTCCTAGTAACGGATGCAGTCTTTATGAAAAAGAATTCACATGGATATCCATATAATACTAAAGACTGTTACAAATCCATAGGTTTTCTGAACACGCACCCTAATCGCTTTCACCCTGTGTGGCTAAGTATTTCATGAAATTTCGGCGCATAAAGTGCCTAGAATTCAACGTTGTGGATTGTTATCGATAAGCAACGTGGTAATGTCAGAATTTATGTTCCCACACCTCGTCTCGATTATATTTCGCGCCTAAGTACGTTACGCTAATATAACACAAACTTGTTGCAGATTAATGTCAGGCATTGCAATTGCTAGACTCGCCGAAGAGCGAAAAGCATGGAGGAAAGATCATCCTTTCGTAAGATATCTTTTTGATATATTGTTCTTTTTAATTACAATCAGTATGTGCGTATCCGTTTGATGATCATATAAATCAAATTTAGATTATTTCAACGTTAAAAATTGCATTAAATAAATAAATATATTGTTTATGATATAATTTCAATATAATAATACTATTATTAAGCATAAAAGTTGCGTTTCCACTGAAATAATTGAATGGTTAAGAATCCTAACCTTTAACATCAAAACGTGTATTGTTTGGATTGTTTCATGTATAATGCATATGTGAAATAAATATTAATGTTTATGTATGATGTGCATTAAATCATAATTTAAATGTTTTTCTATAGGGATTTGTAGCACGACCAGTTAAAAATCAAGATGGATCTCTTAACTTGATGAATTGGGAATGTGCCATACCAGGCAAAAAATCTGTGAGTTTTGTGCAATATAATGTAATAAATATTGTTCTGTTAATAATATCTAATTCAATTTTCTAGACACCATGGGAAGGTGGATTATATAAACTACGTATGATTTTTAAAGATGACTATCCCTCCAGTCCACCAAAATGTAAATTTGAACCTCCTTTATTTCACCCAAATGTGTATCCTTCAGGAACAGTATGTTTATCACTCTTAGATGAAGAGAAAGATTGGAGACCTGCCATTACAATTAAACAAATCCTACTTGGTATACAAGATTTATTAAATGAACCTAATGTCAAAGATCCAGCTCAAGCAGAAGCATATACAATATATTGGTATTGTATTTATATTTTAAATAATTTAAATAATTAATATTGTGTTTGATAATACAACAAATATTTTTCTTCTTATCGTAGTCAAAATCGCTTGGAGTATGAAAAACGCGTAAGAGCTCAAGCCAGAGCAATGGCTCCGCAGGAATAAAATTATATTAAGTTTCATGAAATTCAAATATTCCAATTACATGAAGAGGTTATCATATATCTATAGTATATTCTAATGATCTATATTTCTTATCTTTTTTATAAGTAATATTAGCATATGATGTAGCTAATTTACTATTATTTGCATTTTTGTTTTTGTTGACAAAATTCTTATGTGTATACATATTCTTTAGAAACACATTAATCTCATTAAGATATAAAAAGGTATTCTATAATTCTGATGAAAGATATTACTGAAAAATTTTACATAATTACATGATATCACAATAAATTATATGTTATTACTTATTTGTAAAATGTGGGAAGCATTTCTTTTTTAAGTTAAAAAAATTTAATTCTTAAGATTTAGTGACAATTATTGATAAGTCGTGAAAATAAGATATGTAAGAAAATGAAAAAAAGTGATATAGTTTCAAAACATCTATTCATTCTGCAGGTTTTAAACTGTAATATCTTAAAAAAAAAAAAGAAAAAAAAAGAAAAAAAAATGTATTTAAAAATCTCATAAGCATTGTACAAATCGTAAAATAAAGTATTCCAATTACAATCTCAATTTTATTGAAATTTAAATTAAAATTGTTTGATAAAAAGTCACAAAATAATTATTGATATATCTATATAAATATAATATATCTGATATATTTAGATAATTTGTAATATAATTATCTCTAAATACATCTTTATCTCATTAATATAATCTTGTAATAAAATAGAGAGAAAATTTTTAGTCAGTGTTCGGAATTCTGCTAAAGTAGATCAATCAACGTTCTATGTTATATTTTGTTTCACATTCGCTTGATTATCGATCGTGGCATTTGTATAATTTACTCGTACGAAGAACATTAATTTCGACTCGAAGTAACGGAAAATTTTCAAGTGTGAATCGAATCAATCATTCTTTCCTATAAAAATATATTTAAACAAAGTGTATATTTAATCAATGTTTATATAATTTAATCATGCCTGTAAGAAATTGTAACAGAAACTTTGCTAAAACTATACGGAAATTGAACGTTGGAATTATCACAACATGTATCGTAGGTTTTGCTGTTTCTTATTATGCATATTATATAGAAGTTGCAAAGGAAAGTGATAATTTATATGTAGCAATGTGCGATATTAGCGAACACATCAGTTGCACAAAAGCATTTTTCTCCGAGTAAGTATACTATACAGATATTATTTTAAAATATATATGATACTAAACTAATAATATATATATACCATTTTGTGTATAAGAAAAGTGTATATAAAACTTGTTCACAATATGAAGTGTCATATGATTGATGCAAATTTTCAAGATTATAATAAAAGAAAAACATTTTATTTAATATATTATTTAATTTTAAATCTTTGAAAACATATTTTTAAATCGATATAATTTATAAATATGAATATATATATTTAAAATAAATTTTATATAACTATATATTAAGAAATATTCTACATAGAAATTAACCTTAATTTCAATGACACTTGCGCATGCGTTCAGACTGAATTTTAAATCGAGTTTTTTTACAATATTTATATTGTAATTATATTTTATAAGAAAAATTAATACATTTGATTTTCCAATTTAAAAATATTTCATTGATTTATTTTTAATATATCTAATGTTTAATGAATAATTATTTTTATTATTGCAGATATGGAAAAGGTTTTGGAATAATTCCAAAAACATCTTTTTTATATATACCAAATCCTATATATGGATTAATATTTTATGCTTTGGTCGCAATATCGAGTACGTATTGTATTTAATAAATTGTCATGTAATTAATTGAGGTAAAATATCTTTTTTTTAATTCTTAATGATATTTATAATAACAATTTTTTAGGTGTGTCAAATCAATATGTTACATCAATTTTGGTTGTAACATTAGGAATTTTTGCAAACATTGGTACAATTTTTCTGGCTTTAATTTTATACAAATTAAGTAATATTTGTGTGATCTGTGTTAGTATCTATATCTTAAATGTCATTCTCTTAATATTTGCGATTAAGAAACATCGAAGATTATTTCGAAATGGTAGAAATCAACGAATAAAATCGAACTAAATATTGATTTTTTAAAATCTACATTTTCTGAATATCATTTTTTTTTAAAAAAAAAGTCCCTATGAATAAACTATATAATTATGATATTAATATTATTCATTAAATATCAATATAGTCTGACTTATTAAAATTTTATACATTATTTTAATAAAGCAATTTGTATATATCTTTGTATATATCAAAATAAATGTTATAAAGGCAACTATTTTGAAAGAATTATAATTTCATTTTAATATAGTACAGAAATAAAATATTGCAAGATTTAACATTTAATCACATATTTCTAAAAACAAATTACTATTGCTATCTCGTTCCCATCTACCAATGATATGTAATCTTGGATTGGTAATTGAATACATGAACTAAGAAAAAAGAAAAAAAATAAATCGTACGTGAATTGTATTGTAATAAGAATTTGTTTGAAAAAAAATTAAAATAAAATAAAATAGTTTCATTGGTTTATACAAAACAAATCTATCACCCTATGATCAATATGGGCAATATTAATATATAATACTTTACACTATAAATATTTTAACACATAAAAAGCTTACACATAAAAGCTATTCACAATAATAATACCCGCGTGATGAATTCCACTATAAATAAAAAAAAAAAAAAAGAAAAAGAAAACCAGTTCATTGTGAAATTATTTAAAAAAGTTTCTAATTGAACAATTTAACAAAGACAAGTCAATACTCGTGTCTACCGTTTTTCAATAAATCTTTGTTACTACGATTGATACTGGCCAAGATGCCTGGACTCTTCAATGGAGGCGTCTCGTCTAATCGATTTAAATGCAAGTTAGATGTGTACGGTATTCTGAGAGGTGGTGTATTGGTGCCATTTCTATCAGCTTCGACGTTAAAGCTCTTGCTGCGCGACAAAGATTTGTAAGTTCGTTCCGGCTTGACCGGTGGTTGGATATTGCTCGATATTGACACCTTGGGCGATGTGACCGTGTTCTTGATGGAAATATTGATCATGCTTCCATATTGACGCGACTTGTTTCCCGACGATGGAATGGTGTTCCCATACGATGTTCCCAATTTGCTCGTGCTACCAACAACTGGCGGTTGACGTCTCGACTGAGCCTGCGACCGAACATATTGTCCCCCGGCGTGCAGATTCCTCGGCAGGGTTTGCGTGCTCCTATAGTGTTCCTCTCTCTCGTGATCGTTGGCTAATCGACTGGTAGACTTGCTAAATCTGCCAAGTGAACTGGACGCGACGCTGAAACGCGCCGATTCGACAAATTGATTGTGTGGATTGAGGGAATCGTTCTTCGAGATGGTTGACGAGTTGATACAAAACTACTAGAGGCATGCTTCAAACTCCCTTTCATGCAGCCTTCACCCAGCATCCGAAGCGACCGACTTTCATCGAAATGTATATATATATATATATGTGTGTATGTATGTATTTATTTATATATCTATATATCTATCTATGTACACGTATATAAAATTTATAACAAGAAGCGAAGCACCGTTCTACAGATTCGATTATGCAAATCTGTATCACCTTACGAGGAATGTCTTTCGACGCTCATACGATTACACCTTTCTTTCGCAGCCGGGCAATACGATACCGTTGATCTTATATTTTTTAACGATTTATTAACTTGAACGAGAGACGTGGCTAACGTATGTATGCATCGATCAGCTTTTTTTATTAATGCCTTTTTTCGTTTTTTCTTTTCTTTTTTTTTTTTATAGCTTAGCTTGATTACCTGTACACGGTCTCTGCGACCGTTCTACCGCGTGGCGGCTTTCCGGATCTTCTCGCGTCTCGGTATCCTTTTTCGCGACCATAGATGCTCCCTCCAAACGGATCCTCGCCCAGATAATACCTGTGCAACGGTGGTGTCGATTCGCCGCGTTGCCACTGTTCTTGACTAATATGATCGCTCGTTCTCACTGTTTTCGCTGTGATCTTATTCGAACCACTGTTCGTGGTGGCATTTTTAGGGGAGCGTGGCGGCCTTTCGGGAGGATTCCCCTCAATGCTCTTCTCGTTTACCAGCGGGATGTTCTTGTCGATCACGTTGTACTGCATATACGTCGGCCCGCTATCGTCGGTCTGAGTCAATTGAGAGATGGAGCCACTGCTACTGGCTCGCTTATTCTTCCTCTCGTTGCTGGCGGAACGTAATTTCCCCACCAATTTTCTGAAGGATTCGCCTATTTTGTATTTCGAGTGTCCGGAACCTTGAATATTAAAAAAAAGAAAAAGAAAAAGAATATATATATATATTTTAATATCATTGAACACTCGAATAAGAATATTATTTCTTAATATATCTTTGACCTTTACTTTTTGGTGGACGAGCAGGTGTCGAAGTCGCGATCTCGTTCGATTTCTTATTACTATTATTATTATTGTTGTTGTTGCGAAAATTCGATTTCGACGTGGGCGACGGTGACCGAGATCTCGATATCGATTTCTTTCGATTCTCTTGCTCGACCGTCTGCTCTGCTTGGCAATCTCGATTACGGTTTTCCCACGTTCTCTGCACAACGTGGACCGGACTCGTGGAGGCTCGCCCCGGTATCGACTCGTTTAAACTGGTTTTCTCCTCGGATCTCGGCACCCACTGAAAAATCAACATCGTACGCTCGATGGAAAGTGCAAGTATAATACGATCGAGTCGAGGCGTACCTGTTCTTTCGATCTTCGTCGAACAGGCGGAGGCGGGGTGCGCGATCGATCGAACGATTCTTGATGCTCGCGACGAAGAACGGATTCGTATGTTTTCGAATAGGTGGACTCGACCTGGCCCCTCGTGTGCGAATGATCGTGGCCATTCGTCTCGACGTGTTGCGACGGAGAGCTCGTTCTCGGTTCTCGCCTCTCTAACAACACGAACACCGTGGAATAATCGTTCCAATTTTCTCGACAAAATGTATACCCACCTTTCCCTTGGTATCTTTCAGACCACTCGCTTATACCGTGAAAGTAGCCGGAAGGCGAGGACGCGGAGTCACGGCCTCGTCGTTGATGCCTGCTCGAGTTCTGATAATCCCTCTCCTTGGACGGGCAAGACTTCATGGTCACGTTGATGTAGCTGGTGTTGGCGCCCGTTGCAACGTTGGCAGACTCGACGTCGGCGCTGATCGATCCATGGGAGGAACGCGACTCGCTACCGAAGTGGCTCTCCAACCACTTGGACGTCTCGAATTTTCTCGCCTCGTCCTCCTCCTCGAAGTCCAACGGTTTCCTCGTCAACACGTCCTTCCGCGCCGGGAAACTCTCGCCGGGAAAGCCTACGGGAAGAACGGTCGTGTTACTCCCTGAATTTGGGCGGGGAAGAGGAGGAAGAAGAGGAAGAACTGTAGTACTGGAATGCTTGTGGAAACGGGTAGTTCGCACTGCCATCGGTGACGGCGTCCAATCCCCCACACGTTCTCCCTCCGTGGTCTCGGCGACGTAGCGCATCTCACGGGCGACCCTCTCGCCACCCGAGATGTAATCGACCACGTCCTCGTCCCTCTTCTTCACGAATCTCTGCGAGCTCTCCTTCCTTCTCTCGGACGCTACGTCGTCGCTCCCGTCATCCGGCGCCTCGTCGTCCTTGATCTGGATCATCGGAATTTAAGATGAAATTTGAGAGAGATTATATCACATCATCCACCTACCTCCTCGTGCTCGACCGTTCGTTTCCTCTCGGTAACGATCAATCCATCGGGTTTCAACTCCTTCCTCTCCAACGTTTTCTCCGTGTCGATCACCTTGCTCGACTTGGTCGTGTGCTGGACGACCCTGGGGCCCGTCTCGGCCGCCAACTGTTTGCACGACTCGGCTAGGGCCACTCTCAGATCGCCCCGGTTGCTTCTCACCGCCTTCTGGTATGCCTGCAAGAAAAGAAGAGAAAAAATCGGGAGGGTCCTTTTTTCGTGGGGCCCATTATTGTATCAGGCCCCGAAATATCGGCACCGATAAACCGGATCGTCCGGATTTCGCCACGCGCGCCGAACAAGTGGAAGGAAAGGTGTGTTCCCTCCCTGCGAAGGCCACCAAACTCGCCGATATTCGTGTGAATAAACCACCAAGTTTGCCTGCCAAGTTGAGGCGAGGGATAAATTTAATTATTATTATTATTATTATTATTATTATTATTATCGTGTCCACTTTCCAAAGTATTGCCGATACGGAATATTAATTAAAAAAGTTAAAGTTAAAGCGAGGGAGGGGATATTTTAATAGATGTTGCGCAACGAGCGCGAAAGAGCGAGAGAGTGAGTGTCTTTTAAGCAAGGATATTTCAGGATGTCGTTCGAAGGCTGAGTGTCGGATTCGAGAAAGGCGACCGAATGGTCGAGGTCATTAAAGGTCGGTTGGATAATTAAATGTTGTTGTACATACCGAGTGGATTGTTTCTAAATTTGTTCGAACGTCCTCGAGATATAATTTCTCTTTTTGTACACTTGCGAGGATGATCTTCGATACAGAAGAGATTCAAAAGAAAGAAAGAAAAAAGAATTGATATTAATTTCACTCTTCTACGAAACTGTACGGTAGACTTTCAATCACTTTGGATGAAAAAAATCAAACGAGACCGGTCGTGTTCCCAAATTCCATTCCTACCACTACGAGGTACACTCGAAAAATTTCCATTCCGATCGATGCGATAATTTCAGTGTACCGGCAGAGGTACGTCTATCCAGGCGTCGAATAGAGCCGTTCGCCGACGTGCCCTGAAAGGTATCACCGTGTTGAATCGCGCGATACGCGGTGTAATCGTCGGGTAAACGGGCGAGGAGGAAAGAGAAGTAATCTGCGTGGAGCGTGTATCGGCCGAGATGGAAGCCAGGTCGAAGATAGGCCGTGCGCGGAACAGCTGCTGTGACTGCGATCGTGGCATCTCGGCTCGTTCGTCGCCATTCGGTGAAGGGAGAGCAAAAGTCGAGAGAGAGATCATCGACTTCCACTTCTCGATGAGTCCACTCCCTCTTTCTCCTTCCCTCGCTCTCCTCCTTTCTCTTTCTCTCCGCTTCTCTCCACCCGTGTCTGCGTGTGTTCCCCCTCTCCCCCCACCCCCTCTTCCCTTTCGTTCTTCTTCATCCAGAACAATCCGACCTCTTCGTTTCTGAATCGTTCATGCGCGAACGCGTATAACCTGTTGCCTAGGTTTTGCAATCCAGAAGTTGGCTCCCCCCCTCCACAACGTACGGATATCTCCCGTTCTATCACCCGTGATCCTCTTACAGCCAGGATCTTCTTACGCGATTCCATCTCCTGTTGTGTTGTTGTTATTCTCGTTATTCCTTTTCTTGGCGACAATGATCCGTCCGTCCATGCTTTTTACGACCGCGTCTTTTTTTACCGTTATTATCGATTCCTGCAATTATTATATTTGGATATATATGTATATATATATATATATATATATATATATATATATATACACACACACGATGAAATTCCATAGCGGCGCGGAGAAAGACGTTCCCCGACCTGTCAGACTGGTTGCCAGACAGATTTATGATAAGCAATGTGACAAACACGATCGGGAATACGATACACCTGTTGCGTCCCTTCCTTCCATGTTCCGTGCACGCACCGCTTCCTTCCGTGTCCGTCTCTCCAACGTCTCATTAATCATCCGCTGACGAGATGCCCGGCCCGGTTGGAAGGGCGAAGGGAAGGAAAATGCGGTTTTCTCCATCATCGGCCAGGGAGGTGGCGCGGAGATCGGTGGCTCGATGCGCGAAACAGAAGGTTTAACGCGGAAACGAACGAGTCGTGAACCGGTCGAGGCTCTCCTCCGCCCGGTAAAATTACATCCCAATTACATCGACCAGCAACGTGTTTCAAACGCATTTCTCCTCTCCTCTGGAGAAAGCCTAGCCGGCGCGACACACTTTAAAAGAAATCCTCGCCATCTTCGCGAATTCGAGCTTCGAATTCCGAAAGAGTGCGCTAGCGTCGGCCTTGGCCGAAAGACGAAGATTATTTTCCCCTGGCCGGGGAAAGGAGAGGGAGTCGAGGCTTCCAAAAGAGAGACAGAGAGAGAAGGTGGTCGAACTATCTGCTAGCACGTGGATACACGTGGGACGAAGCTTGGCGAGCTGACCTTTTCGCGGCCGGGGAAAGAAGGGGAAAGAGAGTGCGGCGTGTATATCCGTGGCACGCGCAGGTATTATTATTAGTATATATATATATATATATATATATATATATATATATATATATATATACACACACACGATGAAATTCCATAGCGGCGCGGAGAAAGACGTTCCCCGACCTGTCAGACTGGTTGCCAGACAGATTTATGATAAGCAATGTGACAAACACGATCGGGAATACGATACACCTGTTGCGTCCCTTCCTTCCATGTTCCGTGCACGCACCGCTTCCTTCCGTGTCCGTCTCTCCAACGTCTCATTAATCATCCGCTGACGAGATGCCCGGCCCGGTTGGAAGGGCGAAGGGAAGGAAAATGCGGTTTTCTCCATCATCGGCCAGGGAGGTGGCGCGGAGATCGGTGGCTCGATGCGCGAAACAGAAGGTTTAACGCGGAAACGAACGAGTCGTGAACCGGTCGAGGCTCTCCTCCGCCCGGTAAAATTACATCCCAATTACATCGACCAGCAACGTGTTTCAAACGCATTTCTCCTCTCCTCTGGAGAAAGCCTAGCCGGCGCGACACACTTTAAAAGAAATCCTCGCCATCTTCGCGAATTCGAGCTTCGAATTCCGAAAGAGTGCGCTAGCGTCGGCCTTGGCCGAAAGACGAAGATTATTTTCCCCTGGCCGGGGAAAGGAGAGGGAGTCGAGGCTTCCAAAAGAGAGACAGAGAGAGAAGGTGGTCGAACTATCTGCTAGCACGTGGATACACGTGGGACGAAGCTTGGCGAGCTGACCTTTTCGCGGCCGGGGAAAGAAGGGGAAAGAGAGTGCGGCGTGTATATCCGTGGCACGCGCAGGTGGAATTCAGGTGTGGGCGCGTCGCGTGTCGATATATATATATATATATATACCTCGTCCGAGATGTCACCCAACTGTTGACGATCCTCCGTCTCCAGTCTCTCCTCGATCTCCTCCCGACTCCTCACTATGGTCTCGTTCAATTCTTTCTGGACTATGCTCGCCCCGTCCACGGGTCCCCTTCCGTTCATTGCCCATTCAACCTCTTGCGGTTGGTCGCCGGTGGTACGCCTCTGAAGACAAGGAAGAACAAAGACGTATTATTGTTGAATTGAGAAGGATTCAGGGAACGGTGTCAAGCTTTACCTCTTGCGTGGTGTGCTCCTGTTGCTCGACGTCCTCGGTTGTGTTCGTGGTGACCAGAGGCCCCGAATCGACCACGACTTCCCCATCCTCGAGCACCACTTGTCGCTTCACTCTCGTCTCGATCTGCCTGGTCGTGGTTATCTCCTTCTTCTTCCGTGTCTCCCATTCCTCTGAAAAGCGGAAACGAGAGTTGAAACGAGAGAGAGAGGAAAAGTTGGAAAGAAAAAAGAAGGCGTTTTCGCGATGGTGGAGCAAGGATAAGAGGGATATTTATACCGAAGTTGATACACGGGTAAATGTTTGCCAGACCTCGCGCGCGACACGCCTTCGCTCTTATCTTGTATCTAGTTATTTGAATCACGGGCTTGGACGTCCGCATCACGGGCAAACAATGCATGACAATCACGTTCGAGGAATTACCTTCTTTGACCAAAGCCACGGAATTCTCAGGGTCGATCTGGAAAAGCAGACAAGTTGCACGATTAATCTGGTTTCTCTGTCTGTACGTGTAGGAGAGAAAGAGAAAGATATATACATATATATAGTAAAAGTAACTGTATGCATTTGAGAGTCTGATTTATTCCTTCGCAAGGAGAAGAAGAGGAGATCTACTCACGAGGATCGGTGGATGGCTGGCAGGCGGTGGACGGGCCTCGTATCGGCGTGTTGAAATCACCTCCATCATTCGATCATGCCTGCTGGTGAATCCTGAACGCTGTTAAGAGGATCCTCCTCCCTGTGCAATTATATATCGCTATCAAGAAACCTATTCTATCTATCTACCCTCTCTGAAACAAAAAAAAAAAGAGAGTCGCAATAGAACGAACGAAGGAAACGATCTAATTATTTTATCCAACCCGGAGGGATCGTTGGATGAAAATATCGAGCCTATTTAACGCTTCTCGCGTAATCATGGCCACGTATCGGCTCGGGCGGTACGCGCATAGGCGGGGCACAATAATTCATCGGGACGCTCTTTTCTGCGTGGAAGTCGAAGGCCGCGGTGGCACGCGGGCCTGTGGTCGCGGCCACCTCGATACGGGCCGCGATACGATATCGAGATGGTTAGAGACACGCGTGCGCCACGTACGACCAGTTCCCGGCCGCAGTGGCGTGTAACGTTTTAACCTCCCCCCTCCGTTTCGAGTCCAAAGGAACGAATTCTCTTCGCGAACAAAATTCATTTGGAAAAATTTAAAATTTTCTCCCGATCTAATTTTAAATTTTAAATCTTAAATCGTTAATAGAGAAGAGAAAAAGATGAAATCGTTAAGAATCAATTGGAGGCTACGCCATTGGACGCTTGCGTCCTTGCGGTTGGAATTACGCACGAGCTCTCTCTCTCTCTCTCTCTCTCTCTCATGTTTCTAGTTGAAAACAGGTACGTAAGTATCCCGATTTTTCCACCCTTAAAAACTATGGACGGAGCGTGTAACGTTCTCTCGGGACGGCTACCGGAGGAAACAATCGTTTGGCCGTCTCTTCGATTCGTTATTGAGCGTGACGCGTGCGATTAACGTGGAGAGGGAGAGATACTCGGCGAGGAGTATCTTCTATCGAGATCGAGGTTGGGAAACAGGTGCGATTCGTATTCGACATCACGCCTCAACGACGATTCTCTATATACGACTCTCATTGGATATGCGTGTGACGTCAGCCGTGTGTCGCGTCAGCGAGGTGAGGCTGAACAAGTGAAGACTGTCCATCGCGGAGGACGTTTTTCTGCCTCATTGTCGCACAGAAGTTTCTCGATTTCCGAGCATCCAAGCGAGAGAGATCACATCGCTCGCCTATCGTTGTAAAATTGTTAGAGGAGTTGTTTTTTACGCGTGTTAACGAATTTATAATAAATAGATGTACGCGGTCTCGTATTTACTATTAAATTCTCTTACGTAACAACAGGCTTTGGAAATGAAATTCAAATTCTGTATTGTGTGAATTCGAACGATCGAATTATTGAATCCTCTTGCATCGGAATCTTGAATGACGTTTATAAAATATTTTTCGCATAATATCCTGCGAGATATTTTTGTCGATAACTATAATCGACGTAGAAATGTGCAGGAAGTAATGTGAATAATGTAAGAGTGAGTTTTAAAATCGAGCGATCGTTCGGCGTTTAAATCACCGCGATCGAATCGCCACGGTGATTTAAATGCGTGTCTGAAAAGCGACGGGTTAAATAGAGCAATCGAAGAACAGGTGGACACTCGTGGGCGGTGTGCCTGTAACGAGATGGACACGTGACCCCGACAAGGACGTCGCCATTTTGAGCGAAAAATAATAAAGCGCGGCAAAATAACGATACACGTTTCCCATCTATCCCCCTGCTCCCTCGAAAACAAAGGTTGATCATATTTTGCAACATCTTGCGAGTTCTAAAACCGTTTAAATTATGAAACATATATATCTGATAGCTCTTCTGCAAAATTAGAAAAAGAAGAAGTATAAATTAGTCTTAATTATATTCATATTAAATCGCAACGATTAATCACCGATCGAGCCTCGCGATGAAATTAATTCGATCGATTTAAACCAAATGAATAAATTTGGCGAATTATAAGATAAGATCGATCTTGCTTCGGGAACGTGTGATTAAAGAGGGGGGAAAAAGGCATGGGCTGGAAACAACGTGTCTTTACACCCGATGCACTGGGAAGATTCCCATCGGTGCTCGTGCACGGCAAATTACGTAAGAAGCTGACAATGCCAGTCTCGTAACATCCTCGAGGAAAAAGCAATTCGATGGAGCGGGCAGTTAGCTTCTCTAGCAAACCGTTTTAAAAAGAAGAGGAATATCGTGGAATGAGATAGATCAAGAGTGAGAGCGATCGGGTTAGAGAGAGGGGGAGAGAAAGAAAGAGAGAGAGAGAGGAAAGAAGAGTCTGCGTGTTACATTCACCTGATTTCTATCGATGACCACTGCTTTTAAATCTGTGGATGGACCAAGCGCGATATATATATATATATATATTTCTTCACTGATTTCTCGTTGTCGTAACAAAGAAAATATGAATGGCACAAAGAGATGAGAGATCGTTTAAATCGCAGTCGAATAGGTTATCGAGTCACGTATCAAAACGTGGAAAGAAACAGGGAACCGAATTCCCGCGCATGCCGCCGTGGCCGGCACTCGCGATACTGCCCGTCCGTTCGTCGAGCGCTTTCTGACGGATCCGATGCCAGCCACTGGGTGCACGAATGGGAGACGAAGATCGCCGAAGCGGCACGAAGCGCGCCCGAACTGTCGGCAGCGATGAGATCAAGTTGGACCCGATCGGAAACCAGTAACAGTTTCTTCCTCTAAATGGATTTTACGAATTTTAATGTTCCGTTAAAAATTCTGGAAAGAGTATGGCTACGTGTTGAAAACTATCGAGTTTTGGAATTCAAGAAATCTATCTTTTTTAATCTCATTAATTATTAGTTAGTTTACATCGATCCTAACCAATTTATTATGTTTACAAATTAATATATATCACGTAAAAATTATTACACGTATTTGTATTCTTTGTATAATTGTTACATTTTGTTTATACTTGTTAAGAATTTTTAATAAAGAATAAAATTAATCCGCTGCGATGTAGTATTCGTAATAATTCGTAACACAAAATTACGTACGTATAAGAAAGGTAACTTTGTCAGAGGAAGGACAACGATCGAATCAGGGACAATACCTGTAAGGGATATGGTGAGAGACGAGGACATCCGTGTTTCGATAAAAGCGGTCAGCGGGTCACTGTCGATCCTCCACCATATTTTGTCATCGATATATTCCATGTATGTAATAACTGTCAAAATGATATCAAGATTATTTATATTTATTAAAAACGTAATGATATGCAAATGATTTCAAAATTGTGTGCAAATGAATATTTCAAGATTTTGAAAGCAAAGTTCAACTCAAAGATCAACTTTTTTTTATCTGCAATATAAATATTAATGAAGTAATCAAAAGACCACGCGAATACGTAATTATATATAAGCGTTAATTATTCAATTATTTGCATTTAATTTTAATTAATTAATGAATCGGCAATGCGAATGCAAAAATTTCATTAGATAAACTTTTTTCTTTTCATTTCATCAAACGGATGAGTACAGACGAATTTGACGTAAACACGACATTTGAAATCTATCTTTAATTAAGATCTATATATTTGGACGGATGATTTATATCGGATCACGGAGCGTTCCTTCAGGAATGTTCATCGAGAAATATATTTGAACGTCAAATTGAATTTTCAAAAGATTATTTTTAGCATTGGGGGGGGGGGGTTAATATGCAAATGCAACGTTCCGAGTGAATACCTTATATCGCGTGCGTGTGAAGTGATTCATCCGTGGACAAAATCAAAATATCATGTCTTAATATCTGTGCTCAAGCCTGTTTCGTCCAAAAAAAGAATGGAAAAAAAAAAGAGAGAGAGAGAGAGAGTTACATGTGTTTGGAAAATGTCTTCTTCGAAAAATTCATTGTAGAACAATCGTAAGATAATTACTATTATAATTATTGTTATCAACTATTGTTGATCGTTATTTTATGTCTCAATGTTGCATCGATGCGCTCTGTTTACATTCAACAGTGAAACTGTAATACTATTGGCACGACTGCGTAGTTCGACAATACTCGTAGTTAGACAATTTTACATTGCGTAAGATGTAAGAGAAATAATAATAATAAAAAAAAAAAAAAAGAAAAAGAAAGAAAGAAAGAATAAGCAATAAAAACGGCATAAAATGGAAATATTATATCCATTTTTACATCTGATTATAGAGTAATTTAGTAAGCTTATGATTCCGTGATTAATGCGTTGTTTAAAATAATCATGGATCGGTCCATCAGATGGCAGAAATAAAATGAATTTATGAATGTTATTAAAACTAATTAACGAGAAGTAAAGATCGATTAAGATTCCATGCTTATGTTCAACATGGATTTATTCATTGTTGTTTCCAAGGAAATCTTAGAAGTGATGAATGATCTTGTAGAGTTTCTCGGGTGCCTTCTCTCCACGCGTAATTTCATTATCCTGGTTTTCCTTGACGTTAATCTCGTTCTCTATATACAGCTGGCAATCGTAGTATCCTTGGAGAAAAGCATTGATCTATAGTATTACAATCGTATCGAGCAATCATGCCAATGTCAATAACAGAAATTGAGAGAACGATAGTGGAGCAGCAACCAAGTAGCTCTTGTATAAGCAATTAGTCAGACACTAATCGTGAGTAAACGTAATATGTTGACTTTACACATCGGATAAATAATTTCGTCGACTGATAAACCTGAAAACGAAATTTATGACAGTATGAAAATCTGATCTCGAATCATTCTTCCGGGAGGACGAGTTGTATACAATGCGGCACATATATATATATATATATACATATATATATGTTTTATGTATGTAGGTGAGCAAGAAAACAGCCCACGTTAGTTGCGAGTCAGGACAAGATTACCTATATGGATTTGGAAACGTGGCCATCGCCAAAAACGGTTGAACAAAATCAGCAACGATAGGACAAGTTTGCTCAGCGGGCGTAATTGGCCCCATGAACTGGTTCAAAAGAGGCGCGCCTTTGCAGGTGCGGTCTAATGTATATTTCCATCCGATCCATTTGATCACGAAGATAATTTTCTACATTTTTCTTATTATTAAATGAGACTTACGATATATAATTACGGAATAAAAATTATATCCGACGATAGAAATTATGGAAGAAAAAAGTTGTAAAATTATTGGTTAATCGAATTCATTATTAGATTTGTCTCAAATATAACATCAAGAGATAAAAATCAAAAAAATAATATAAGCAAACTACTTTTTCTTGCTAATGCAATTATCCATTGACAGTGGAAGTATCAGAAAGTATCGATAGTCGAAAATCGGTAATGGACGTTCTATATTTTTTTCATGTTACAAACTTGTATTTCAAGATTATATTGCCATTTAATTTTTAAAGAAAACTAGAAATTATTAATCGTTATTTTTAATATCTCATACTTACCAGGAACAGCTTACTTACTTAAGCTTATATATTTCTTTTTGCTTTGTTAAAATTGGATAGATTAAGAAACGCTATATAAATTATAGTCTTCTGTATCGAAATTTTCGGTATCGATTCTTTTACCCGCCAGTAACAACAATGCGTAGCATGTGGTGCCTACTAACGGCATTTTTGCGAACTAGCAAATAAAGGATCGTCTTCAATTCATAAAGGTGGCGCTGTGAACTATAATCTAGTGACAAAATGAAAATAACTAGGGAAAAGAAACTAAAGGGAGGGAAATGTAATAGTGTAAGAGGCACGACCCCAGGCAATAGAATACATCGAGCGTATCTCTGTTCGTATGTTCGTCTTTGAAGCATAGGTACGCCATGTTCTCGGTCGTTGTATTCAGAGAGAAATAGTGATTGCAGTGGAAGGGAGACAGAGCGTGCAGAAGGCAGTAGTGGAGGAAGCGAGAAAGAGGAAAGGAGGGAGCGAGGAAAAGAAACAGAGATAGACGAATGACAGAAATGCATTGCCGTGCTAGCAAGCAGCAAGAACAGCAGCAGCGTATAGAGGAGAGATCGCGTCGTCCACGCGTAATTCGGGGCGTGTGCTAGGTTGGTTGGTTTCCCTAGCTCGTGTCCGTGGCTGCGAATCGAAGATGTACCGGTGGCAGTGCGGGATACGCGTCATCGTCCCGTGACGACGACGTTAGAGAGGTGCGAGACCGCGAGCACGGTGTGGGCAGGTCGCGGCCATTTTTACCACACGATGCGGCAACCGTGCGTGCCCGTTCGATCCGCCATTCCAAACAATCGGTGTACTTCGTGCCCTCGCAGGGTGCATCTAGCCACGGCAACTCGTGGAGGCACCGTCAAGCAACAATAATACGTGCCTCATTATCATCGATACGAGCATTTTTTGGGCTCAAGCACGACGAGACAGCTCGTGAAAGCCGGCAGTGTTACTGGTGCTGGTGGTGGACGTCGTCGACGACGACGTGGTGGAAAAGGAGAAAGAAAAGAAGAAGAATAATGATGATGATCGTGATCATGGCGAAAAAGAACGACTCGAATGGTCGACACATTGGAATACTATTGGAGCTATTCGAGAATGCCTGTGATTCGTGTTTAATTGCGCACAGTGTGTTCGCCGATGATAGTGCCGTTTGTGCCCAGTGTCTCTCTGTTTCTCTTCGTGTATCGCTCTCCGTCTGTCCGCCCTGTGCGTGCGTGTTTCGCGTGCCTCCTCGCCACGCACCGGACTCTCTCCTCTTCCTTGGCAGCGCGATCGATGTGACACCGTGTGACCGTTTGAACGTCTTTCCGGGCGAAAATTCTCGTTAACTGTGTCCTATTGAACTTACTGATTCCTGGAATATAAGAAGACAAGGGATCGAATCCTAAATGTTATAAATGCGTGTGTCCCGTCGGTAAACGTTCTGTCTTGTGAGAGTGTGTATCCAAAGGTAGTGTGTGCTCTCTTACTCGCGCTCTCTTCACCGTCTGTGGGTTCCCCTCGGTCCTTCTTTCTCTTTTACTCTACATCTATCTCTCTTATTCACTTATTCTCGTTTTCTCTGTTTTTCCATTCCACCATCATACTTTCCTTGTTTCTCTTTCTTTCATTTTCTTCTTTTTCTTCTTTTTCTTCTTCTTCTTCTTCTTCGTCTTCTTCTTCTTCTTCTTCTTCTGTCCCCTAGTTTTCTTTTTTTCTCTTGTAATAAAGAAGCATTAAGGACCACCGCGCGTAGTAGAATGCTCGACGACACCACGATACAACGCTTGTCATCGTTTACGTCGTTCTCGCGTTCATCGTGGTTGCTCCCGGATCGTCTCCAATTTTCTCACGGCTTCTTCCGAATCGAGGAAGCTGAATCGTTGAGGGCACCTCGATCGTGAGGTGGTGACGACCAGCTCGTATCGGGGCGCGACAACGGCCTCTCGTACGGGAACAGGACGTCTGCCTCGAGATGGAGATCGAGGCGAAACAACGGAATCAGAGGAATCGGAGACGAGAACGAGCCCAACGTATGTTGGCACAGAGAGAGAGTTTGGCCACCGCAAAGCAGCAGCAGCAACAGCAACAACAACAGCAACAAACAAGGCAACGGCCGAACGACGAGGAGGACAGTCACAGCGGCGAGGACGAAGATCCTGCTGCCGGTCTTGGCCTCGGACT